GTGGCGCACCTAAGCTGGTCCCAGAGAGTGTTTTCCCATCACTCCAGGCCTTTTGGAGTACAAGGGCAAGGGCGAAGGTTTAATGGTCCCAGAGGTCCCAAAAGTCCCAGTGGAAGCCTCTCTCCTGCACCAGGGTTAGCTGAGGTCATCTTCCCTTCTTTGCCTTCCCTTCAGCTTGGCACAAGGATACAGGAGTCCCTAGAACCAGGCCTTCGCCCAGACCCCCAGTCAGATGACACAGAGGGGTTGGCAGCCATCAGATGAGATGATGGGCTGGCTTGGTGGCCTTCCAGGTCCATCACATTCATCAAAGCAGGATCCTCCTGGGCTGTGGTAGCCCACTGGGGAATTTCCAGGGACTCATGCTCAGAGTTCATCCCTTCTTCGCCAGGATTTAGCCAGAAGCAGGAATGTGCTGCTCAGAGAGCAAGGAACCAGTCTGTAAAGATCTCTGTCTGCCTCAATCTCCAGGCAAGGAGACTTGGTTCAGTTCCCGGCCTCCCTGCCCCAACCCTCAGGATCCTCAAGTCAGGAGGTCCCTCTACTTGTCTAACTGGACACTCCTCTGGTTGGACTGCAGGGCCTGGCCTGGGACACATATGCCATGCTGCCATTCACACCCAAGACTGACTGGACCCTTGGTTCTCCCCCCACCCCTGCAGTGCCCAGCCAGCCCCCTGAGAACGTCCGGGCCCTGTCTATCACTTCTGACGTGGCTGTCATCTCTTGGTCCGAGCCCCCACGCAGCACCCTCAATGGCGTCCTCAAAGGCTATCGGGTCATCTTCTGGTCCCTCTACGTTGATGGGGGTGAGTCTGCTGGGACTGATGGCTGGGCCTCACGGGAGAGGTGCAGGATCAGTGGGGTCTGCTTCCAGGCATAGTTAGAGCTGAGCATCCTCCTACAGCATGGCAAGAGGAAGGGCAGTCCCCTCTTCTCCACACGGGGAGGCCACAAGGCGCAATAATGGCCATGGGGCCAGGGGATAGTGAGGAAGAGGCTCAGGATTCACTGGCACACCTCTGTGTTCACCTGGGGTCAGAGCCAGAGGCAAGGGGGCGGTGGTACACAGGGTGGCATCTCTGGTGAGGAAAGGAGACACCCAGCTACTCCCAGACAACAGTGTGTGTTTGGGGAAGTATTGTGGGCATGATAGGGGCATACTGACTTTCCTAATTTAACGTGCTGATATTAGGCCTTTATGGCCGTGTGAGTCAGTGTCATTTGGGGAGCGGTCAGTACACTCAAATGGGGCGATCAAAGAGTTTAATGAAGGGACTGAGGAGGGAGGTGAGCACCTGGAACCAGCACCAGCAGGAAGCCATCAGCACCTAAGGCCAAGCGGGAAGGGAGGAAGCAGGGCTACCAGAACCCAGGGAGAGCCTCCGTTGGCCAAACCCAGCTGGAGCCAGGCATGCAGCAAGGCGTGTTTTCTGTGCAGGCAAGCCGCCCGGGACCCAGAAAAGGGCAGAGAGGTGCGCACAGTGGAGCTGGGGGGTAGGAATGGCAAATGGAGAAAAACCAGTAAGACGGCCCAAAATTTCGAATGGCTTCCTCGCCCTGGAATGGGCAACACACTTGAGTAGCATCCCGGAGGCACACCAAGCTCCTCCCACTGGTTACACGGACCTCACGTGACCTGGAGGCTTATAGCTCACACAGGCCAGAGGACCAGCGTCCCAGACTATGGAAATATTCCACCGAAGGCATTAGTCACCTCAGTAGGTCACAGAGGACTAAAATGAGTTTGCCTCCCACCCGGCTCCTGCACTTCCTGCCCCCCAGCCCCCTGGGTCCTCTCTTCTTTCCTGGGGGACCTTGGAACCCAGCTCACAGTCCTTTGTCCAGCACTCACAGTCCCCTCTCCCATCCCGATTCTGCTCTGCCCGGACCTGCCACAGGAAGTGTCTTTCCCCACCCCCACCCCCACTCCCTCCCACAGAAAGCAGAGGCTGTAGCTCACGGTGCGCCGTCTGAAGGCCTCCCTAGTTCTTTTGCTGGGCAGTGCCAGGCCCCACTGCTCACAATGTGGCCTCACTACATCCATATCTGTGTGGAGCCAAGTAAAGGGTGGTCCCTGTTTTCCAGAACTCACTTCCTCTTTTCCAAGCCCGCGGGCTTCCCCAGCTCAGCCCCTAAAGAATGTATTGGCCTCGGTAATCCCCAAAGACCAGCTGGACTCTTGGCCATGCTGCCCTCTTCCTGAGTCTTTCTCTGGCTCCAGTTGTGGACAGGCCCGCCTGGTTTCTGACTCCAGGAGAGGAAAGCCCTATTGCTCCAGCCCCTGAGGATCCTCCTGCACTCTCCTGGAGTCTTCTCACACTGGGCTCGGCCTTCTTGCCCTCTGGACCCCAGCAGCTGCTGCCTTCCCTGGCCAGACCTTCCGCCTTGACCTTTTGCCTGTCCTGGACCATCAGTGAGGTGCTGGGAAGGGGTCTCCAGGCACTCATATCTACAAGGCTGCTCCCCAGCCTGTGGCCGAACCTGTCTTTCTGAAAGCCCAGCAGTCCTAGCAGAAGGCTCCAGAGTCTGTCCCTTTTCCTCCTTCTACGCTTCTGGCCCCCAGGGACCCTCTCCCTAAGCTCCTCTTTAGAGTCTATGAGAAGGTCCTTGCCGGGCCGGGATGTTGCGTCCTCCGTGAGTCTGAGGAGTCTCCCCGCCCTTCCTGGCTGAGGTTGTCGTCTCCACCAGCCTCACCCAGGCTTTCTGTGCAGGGAATGGCTGGGTGTCTCCAATGGTGGGGAGGAGGCAGACAGGTCACTCAGTCCCTTACCCCAGCTGAGAGTTCAGGAGCAGTCAGAGGCAGGGGAGGCAGCCTCAGCCTGTCACACGTCATCCCTGGGTCAATAAGTGCCCAGGGAGGTCTGGCAGCCAAAGGTGGCTGGGCAGCAGGAAGAGTGGCTGCTGAGCTGTCCCTCCTGGACAGGACCTCCTCCATCCAGGTCCAAGCCACTCCAGGCTCTCCCATGGGAAGGGAGTTAGGTGGCAGGAGGGAGAAAGGTCATTTGGAGAGAGAGGCGTTTTACAGAGTGTAGCAAGGTGAAGCTGGTGCAAGGTCAACTGAGGCCGGGGCCAGGCCAGCATCTGTGGCTCGCCCTCACTGGGCCCCATAGAGAGATGTGGCCTGGGGGCAGTGGCCTGCATCTGCTCCTGGGTACCTCGTGGTGAAAGACCCTCCAGTCCTCGCCACCATGGAGTGGAGGGCTGAGCCGGTGCCGTAGGTGTGAGCAGAGTTTGCAGCAGGGGTGGCAGCAGGGGCCACAGCCTGGCAGAGCTGGGCCCTCAGAGTTTGCTGGTGTCCGGCAGAGTGGGGCGAGATGCAGAACATCACCACCACGCGGGAGCGGGTGGAGCTGCGGGGCATGGAGAAGTTCACCAACTACAGCGTCCAGGTGCTGGCCTACACCCAGGCGGGGGACGGCGTGCGCAGCAGCGTACTCTACATCCAGACCAAGGAGGACGGTGAGTCCAGCCCTCTCCTCGGGACGGGCTGGCCCTGCCGCCCACTGCTCGCCCCAACCCCACCCCAGGAGGCAGAGTGAGAGCAGGGTACTGTCCTTTCTCCTGCCCTTCGAGTCACTGGAGGGTGGCCTTGAGGACTCTGGGGAAATGCTCTGGGATTCACGCATGAGCGGAGAAGCAACTGTGAACCTCCCCGCACCTCCCCGCGCACCCCCCTACACACACCTGCTCTCTGCAGCATTGAGTCAGAAGCCGGAGAAACCCTCTCCTCCCACCCCATGAGGCACTGGCTCCCCTGCGAGGTTCAGCCTGCTTTCCTCTGGATACAGATGTGGGGGCTGGGGGAGCAGGAGCATCACTCAGCACATCCTGGGGTAGGGACTTCACAGTCACCCACAGAGGCCACAGCATGGTCCCAGCCCTGGACTGTCAAGGCAGGGATGGGGGTATGTCTCCATTTGGAGCTGGGTGATCTCAAAGCCCTCCCTCATGGGGCAGGACTAGAGGAAAGCCAGAGGCAGGGGGCCAGACTCAAGGACAGGGTGACACAGTAAGGTCAGGGGAAAGGGGAGGCTGGGTTCGTGAAATTAGCCCAAGTGGAAACAGGCCAGAGGGACCAGGCTTTCACCGAGGCCTAGAGCTGCAGGACCCCAGGGGCCACCATTCCTATGGAACGCCATGTCCAGGAGGTCCATGTGTGAACGGCACACAGCTCTGGGCTCCTGCCTGCAGCCCCACCACCTCCTTCCCCTCCCGGTCCCAGCTCCATCACTTAGTTGTCTCATAGGTGAGCACTCCAGGCCAGGTGCCCTGTTACAAGAAGAGGTGTGACAAGCGACTGGCACGCAGCAGGCACAGAAGCCAGTCACACCCTTGCCATGATGGCTCCCTCCCCACCCGCCCTTAGTTTTTTCAAGGGACGTGGAGACCCAGAGTCTAGGTCCCACCTAAACAATTTGCTCAAAGGCGCTAGAAGGGCTTGACATGTTGAAAAGGAGCGACTCGGGCTGGTAGCGGTGGCGGACAAGCCGCCGTGTTGCCCAGTGCCCGGTGACTGGACCAGCTCCCAGCTCAGCTTAATCTCCCTGCTCTCCCTCCCTCTCCCCTCCAGCAGGCCCCCTCTCCACTTAAGCTCTGAGCAATTCAATATTTACCAGCCTGCCTGCCCTACTTTTCCTGTCATTAATCCTCCCATCAAGGCCTCCTGGGACAGCTCCGGGCAGAGCCACCTGCTCTTGTGTGGAGACTGAGCAGAGATGGCATCTAGAGGCTGGTCCCATATGAGGCCTCAGGGCCACACTTAGGCACCTTTTGGCCTCCAGAAATGAGCCCCTGGGGCCCCCACGCTTCTTCTTGCCTCCTATTCTGATGCACGGTCTGAGCCATAAGCGCCTCCACCTGTTTAACTGATCAAGGCAAGGCCCTATGAGGAACCCAGAGGTCTAGGAGCACCACCCTCACCTGCAAGGAGCCTTCAGCTCTCCGCCCCAGAGCCCTGCACCGTTGTAAACAACAGGAGCCCAGCCCCAAAGAAGCACTGCCCCTCCCCTTTGGGAGGCGGCACTGCAGCAGGGAAAGGGCGCTGATAAATACAGCGGAAGTACATGCCCCAAACTGGCTTTCATGGCAAAGTCACGTAACCCTCCGGAAACCCAGTTTCCTCACCATAACATGGGGAGAGTGATGCCTCATCAACGACTAGTGGAACATCTGAAATGTCAGGTACTAGCAAATAGCAGTTGCTTTACGGTTACCGAGGTGCTGGCAATTAAATGGCTGCTTCAGGTCGGGCGCTGCAGCTCACGCCTGTAATCCCAGCTCACACCTATAACTTTGGGAGGCTGAGGTGGGTGGATCACCTGAGGTCAGGAGTTTAAGACCAGCCTGGCCAACATGGGGAAACCCCATCTCTACTGAAAATACAAAAAATTAGCCAGGCGTGGTGGAACGTGCCTCTAAGCCTAGCTACTCGGGAGGCTGAGACACAAGCATCACTTGAACCTGGGAGGCGGAGTTTGCAATGAGGCGACGTCATGCCACCAGGTGACAGGGCAAGACTCTATCTCAAAAAAAAAAAAAAAAAAGAAATGACTGCTTCAGGTAAGGGCATCAGGGTCTCCAAGGAGAAGCCCAGGCCACAAAGAACCCAGTGTCAGATGAGATCTTATCCAGAATAGCAGTCATAACATGACTTAACCCGCCCAAGAACCCTGAGAGGTAAGCATTATTTCCATGTTACAGGCAAGTAAACTGAGGCCTCCAGAGTGAAACCTACTTTCCAAATGCCACTCAGCTAACAGGAGCAAATCTAGGCTTTCTTGTCTCCATATACTTTATACTGTCCATCAAACTACTTGTGTGTGTTAGGAAGCTTTTTGTCGTGAAAGTCAGTGAAAACAGATTTCAGCAATAAGCATATTAATTATCACACATAGCAAGAAGTCCTGGGTAGGACAGCTCCAAGGTTGGTTAAGTCAGTGGTTCCCAGCCTCCTGCTCTGCCATCCTCTAAATATCAGCTGCCCCCGCTATGATTTCAAGATGGCTACAGCCCTAGGCATCACACCAGGCAAGACAGAGTTCAGACTGAGAAGAGGGAGTGGGCATGCCTTTCTAGGGAGTCGAAGCAACTTTCCCAGAAACCCCTCAACAGACTTATCATCATTTCCCATTGGCCAGAGTGGGGCCACGTGCCTCTTGCTAAGCCAGTCACCAAACAGGAAACGGAATTATCATGGCCTATTTACCCCAAACATGACATACCCTCTAGAGTAGGCTGTAGAAACAGCTGTCTCTGAAGTGTGGAGGAATTCAGGTACTTAAGCAAAAGTGAGGTTCTCTCTGCAAGGTCTAGGAGGGAATGGCAGAGGGCAGCAGCCAACTACCTGATGTTACAATTACCATTCAGTCCCATGCCAACTGAGTAGTATTGTAATAACTTCCACCTAAGAAAGGGAGAGTCATCTACTGTATTAGTTGTTACAATTAGTAATTAGTTATTACAATTACTACTCAGTAATTACATAATTACTCATGTAATCAGTTATTACAATTACTAGTCAGTCCCATGCCAACTGAGTAGTAATTGTAATAACTTGGGGTGGCAGCCACCCCAGCTTCGCCAGGCTCTCCCAGTCATAGGTAGAAGTTATTACAGTTGTGACTCAGTTGGCCTGGGAAAGCAGACAGGTCTGTGATCCAATTCCACCCCCACCGTGGGAACTTAGGCAAATACCTTCATCTGAAGACACCATGACCCCACCCTCAGGATTTTGCACTTTTCCAAAGAAAAAAAATTATCAGGAAATTTAGAAAAAAGCGAAAGGAATTTAGAAGAACAAAATGCAAACATAAATTCAGGTTTATTTACTGAGTCCAGACCCCTTAGTCTGAGCGTGGTTTCAGGCTGGTTTAGCTGGACCCAGTTCATGGGCTCTAGTTATGACCCCTCAGCCTCCCCTGTGAATATCCAACCTGGCAATATGACCTCCAAGTGCAAAATTGACTTGAATTTTAGACCACTTTAAAGACCTTTAACTGAGGAAGAGGCATGACTAGACCCATGTTTTAGGAAGATAATTCTTGTTGATCACAGGCAAAAGGTGGGTAATAAGGACTAGTGTCAGAGAGACCAGTTAGAACCTGTGTAGGCAGAAATGAGAAAGTTATATACGAGGGCAACATCACTGAGGATGAACGGCAGTGACAAGTTTAGAAAGACATATCAGAGGGGTTCCACCTCCAGCAAGGGTGGATTGGGCAACTTACACCCATTCTTCTTGCTGAGGACAGCTAGGAAATATGGACAAACTACTTTTTAGAACACCTGTTGAAGGCATCAGCAAGCTAGCAAGAGAGTGAAGAATCATTGGGCCAGAATCCAGGGGAAAATAGAGGCCCCAAAGGTGAACCTGACATTTGGAACGGCTCCTTCCCTAAGGAACATTTGCTGAATCTGGAGGCAGTGGCCGAGAAGCTGAACAGCACTAGAAAGACATGAACTGGAGGTCAGGTCAGGGCTTGCCAGGTTGTGGGGGCCTGTCTGGTGAATACCCCTCACTTAGAGTTGGGACCATAAAGGATGCCACTCTAAGGGCAAAAGTGAACCAAAAGCACACAGCTCACCTTCAAATCATCTCAATACTGGAAATTGAACTGAAGTGACCCCAAATTGCTAGTGCCCAGATTGCAGGTGCCTATCAGAAACAAACATGAATCCTCTCTTTAGGAAGATAACATCAGCATATGCCATAAATTATTTCTACAAACTATTTTGCAAATGTTGTGTCTGGCATACAATAAAAAAATGGGACAACATGAACAAAAGCCATCAGGGGAAAAAAAGAGAAACAGATCCACAAAGTTTTCAAACTTGGGTTTTATCAAACATGGACTTTAAGATAATTATGCTTGACAAAACTGAAAACTTCAGAGAATTGGAAACTATCAAATAGAAAATCTAGGAAGAAAAAAACCCTAATACATGAAATTAAGAACTCAGTGGATGGATTTAATAACACATTAAACACAGTTGAAGATATAACTTGTCAATTGGAATATAGGCAGAAGAAAATATCCAGATGAAGCACAGAAAGACAAATGGGTTGAAAAATTAAAGGAGCAGGCAAGAAACATTAAACTTCAGTGTGTATACAGATCACTTGGGAATCATGTTAAAATTCAGGTCCTGATTTGGCAGGTCTCAGGTGGAACCTGAGATTTTGCATTTCTAACACACTCGCAGGTGATGCTGGTAATGATCCACAGACTGCATTCTGAGCATCAAGGACATAGAGGATGCAGTAAGAAGAAATCCCAAAAATAGGAGAAAGAGAATGAGGTGAAAGATAAAATGTCTGAAAATGTTTCACACTAATGAAATATATCAAGCCACAAATTCAAGAAGCTCTACAAACTCTGTTGTCACACATTAAAGAAATCCGCCCTTTGGGAGGCCAAGGCAGGTGGATCATGAGGTCAGGAGTTCAAGACCAGCCTGGCCAAGATGGTGAAACCCCATCTTTGCTAAAAATACAAAAAGTTAGCCAGGCATGGTGGCAGGCGTCTGTAATCCCAGCTACTCAGGAGGCTGAGGCAGAAAATTGCTTGAACCCCAGAGGCAGAGGTTGCAGTGAGCTGAGATTGCACCACTGCACTCCAGCCTGGGTAACAGAATGAGACTCTGCCTCAACAAAAAAAAAAAAAAAAACAGAAAACTGTACCTAAGCACATCACATTAAAGCTGATAAAGAAAAGAAAGACATCTTAAAAGCAACCAGAGGAAAAGACTGATTACCTCCAAAGAAGAAGCAATAAGATTGTGGCTAACTTGTCAGAGACAATGGAAATCAGAAAAAAGGATAATGATATATTTGCATATATGTAAAATATGTAAGGGAAACAGTTACCAACCTACGATATTATACCTAGCAAAACTATTCCTCATGATTAAGATGAAATAAAGACATTTCCAGACAAATAAAATCTGAGAGAATTTATCACCAACATGCCTGCCCTAGAGAAGATCAGAGGATATTCTTTAACTAGAAGGAAAATGATCCTAGGAGAAAGCTCAGTGACGCAGCAAGTAAAGGCAGAGAAATTAAGTGGTGACTATATGGGTAAATCTAAATTAATATTGACTGCATAAAATATCGATGATAATGATGTATATACAGAATTAAAATAAACAACAATGGGGTCAGGCATGGTGGGTCATGCCTGAAATCCCAGCACTCTGGGAGGCCAAGGCAGGTGGATCACCTGAGGTCAAGAGTTCGAGACCAGCCTGGCCAACATGGTGAAACCCCATCTCTACTAAAAATACAAAAATTAGCCTGGCATTGTTGTGGTGAGTGCCCATAGCCCATAGTCCCAGTTACTCAGGAGGCTGAGGCAGGAGAATCACTGGAAACTGGGAAGCAGAGGTTGCAGTGAGTGAGCCAAGATCATCATGCCACTGCACTCCAGTCTGGGTGACAGAGTGAGAGTCCATCTCAAAAAACTAAAAAATTATGAAATAAAATACACAACAATGGCATATAGGTTGGGACAGGGCACGAGCACGCTCCCCAAGCTTGGGGTGGGCAATGTAGGCAAGTCGATTGAGCTTGCGGCTGACACCCCCCTTTGGGATCTTGGGCTTAACCTCCTTGGGCTTTACGAGAGCCTTGATGGCCTCGGCACGTGCACTCATGGCCTTGGTATTGTTGGCCTGTATCTTCTTTAGGCCCTTCTTGTTGTGCTTCTTGGCAAAGCGCATGTCCCTCAGGAACTTGGGGTCTACCCCCTTAAGAGATTCATATCTTTGTGATTGGGGTTTCTTGATACCATTTCTGTGCCATTTTCAGGACTGGTTGTGTGTTGTGTGGTTCTTGGACTTGGCCATGTCTGCACCTAAGCCACGGTTCCCAAAGCGCCTAGGACCAGAAGAGCGCTAAGTGCTTTATTTTATTTTATTTATTTGATTTTATTTTAAGACAGAGTCTTGCTCTGTTGCCCAGGCTGGAGTGCAGTGGCGTGATCTCAGCTTACTGCAACCTCCACCTCCCACGTTCAAGTGATTCTCCTGCCTCAGCCTCCCCAGTAGCTGAGATTACATGCACACGCCATCATGCCCAGATAATTTTTGTATTTTTTGTAGAGACAGGGTTTCCCCAGGCTAGTCTTGAACTCCTGACTTCAGGGGATCCACCCACCTAGGTCTCCCAAAGTGCTGGGATTACATGTGTAAGCCACCTGGCCAGTATTTTAATTAGCATGAATTCTCACTACAACCTTTTAATGTAGTTCTTATCTCCATTGTATAGATAGGGAGATGAAGGCTCAGAGAGGTAAAATAAGTTGAATAGGATGCTATCACTGTCCTCAAAAGATCATAAAAGTTTCTAGAAGGGAAAACAAGTACACAATCATATAATGGAGAGATGAGGACAGGGAATATGAGCTGAGAACAGGAAGCTTCCAGTCTCCCAGGCAGAGCCCTGGGGTCCCAGCTAGGTGAGACAGGCCCTGAGGGGAGGGTGAGGGGAGATTATAGTCCATAAGAGTTGGAATTTGGCTGGGCGCCACGGCTCACGCCTGTAATCCAAGCACTTTGGGAGGCCGAGGTGGGCAGATCGCTTCAGGTCAGGAATTCAAGACCAGCCTGGCCAACATAGTGAAACCCCGTCTCTACTAAAAATTAAAAAATGAAGAAATTAATCAGCTGGGTGTGGTGGCCAGTTCCTGTAGTCCCAGCTACTTGGGAGGCTGAAGCACGAGGATCGCTTGAACCCCAGGGGTCAAAAGGAGGCAGAGGTTGCAGTGAGCCAAGATCGTGCCACTGCACTCCAGCCTGGGTGACAGAGCGAGACTCTGTCTCAAAAAAAAAAAAAGTTAGAATCCACCTAGGATGGATTTTCTAGTCACTTCTAAGGTAGATTTTCTTCCAGAAAGTACCCAGCCAGCACTCCAAGGCCTGTGCCCCCGGCCCATGCCAGTAAACAGGTTGTGGTCCCAGCTTCAAGAAACTCACAGGCCAAGAAAGGGAAAGTGCCAGGTGCTGTGTGTTTTCCCCCTAAATACAGGCTTATAGTTAGTAAGAGTGTGGGGTCAGGGGTGAAGGTCAGAGGAATCAAGATGAATTCCTGATAGGTTCTGTTTCTCTTTTGCCTATGCTACCTCCTTGTTTTGGCAAAACAGTTATGAAGCTGGGGCTCCCAGGACCTCCATTTCAGAGACTTTGTTACAATTCCAAAATGATATTTTCTCCTCCCACCTGTTTACCACACAGGACGGACCCTCCCTCTCTAAACCACAGCTCAAGGGTGCCACCTCCAGGAAGCTTTCCCAGATTGACCTGCCTCCCTCTCCCAACTGTCATTTTTCCCAAAGGCTGTGCTCCTGCTTTCTCTCAACTGACGAGGCCTTCTCCCTGCTCAGTTCCAGGTCCCCCTGCTGGCATCAAAGCTGTCCCTTCATCAGCTAGCAGTGTGGTTGTGTCTTGGCTCCCCCCTACCAAGCCCAACGGGGTGATCCGCAAGTACACCATCTTCTGCTCCAGCCCCGGGTCTGGCCAGCCGGTAAGTGAGTTCAGGGCCAAATGATGAAGGGGATGGAAAAAAAGAAAAGGGACCTTGTAGATCAGCTGGCTTCCAGGCCAAGCCCTGAGGCTGCTTGTATCTGAGCTTCTGCCTGGATTCGTAGATAAGAATAGGGTCTGGCCACCCAAAGTGGCCGAAGCCTTACTCAGTGTCCATCTTGGGTCAGTCCTCTGTTCCAGCGGCCATAAGAGTGTCACAAGCACTGGAGGCTCCTTTTAGTCAGGCGGGTCATCCCCAAGCAGGCAGGGTGCAGGGAAGCCAGCCTCAGCTCTCCTGCTCCGGCTCACAGAGGCTCAGAGCAGGTCCCCAGGCTGGTCTGTGGCCTCTGGGAATGAATGGCATTTCAACATAGTGGGTCTGGGCTTGGAGGCGCTGTCGGAGCTCTGCCCTGCATGAGTGCCTCTACAAGGAGCAAGCTGAGGGAGAGGAAAGACGGGGGAAAGCTAAGAGAAGACACAGGTATCTCTGGTCCAGGGCCTGGTCTCAGGCAAGAGGAGAGAACTGAGAGACTACAATATCTGCCCTAACCTTGGAGCGGAGAGGGCAGCCCCCAGGCCAGACATAGGGCAGGGGGCTAGTGCAGCCCCTCCACTGAAGCTCAGAAGGGCCCCACAGAGAGGGAAGGGAGGATGGAGATGGGAGCAGCGGGATATGCACTACATCCCATCATATGCATCCTTTCCCCTGCCTCTTTCATCGTCTCCAGCCAGTCAACCACGAAGTCCTGCTGAGTGACTAGAGTGTGCCTGTTCTAGGTACAGGAGCAGGAGCAGATACCTGCCCTCAAGGGGCTTCCAGTCTAGTGGAGGTGGGTGGCAGAGGGGAGCACACTAGAGGGCCAGGAGTACTGTCAGGAAGATGTGCTCAGGGCTGGGGGAGCAAGGAGGAGAAGCAGGAATAGGAGGCCCACTCCCCGCTCCATCAACAACTGGGCATCAGCCTGAGCATCTGCACATGAGCTTTTGGCTGCCAGGAAAGCTGCCCTGAAATTGCTCAGTAATTGTGTCATCATCTCCTCCTATACTGTCTGCTTTCTTGTGGTCTTTCTGAATTACCGTCTGAGTGGTAGCTGGCCCAGCTCCCCGCCAGTGAGGCCAGAGTTCTATTACCAGAGGGGAAGCCCAGTGACTGCGGCCCCTCCTCTCCATCCTCACGGCCACTACCTCACATGCAGCAAAGTGCACACACGTCATCACTGTACACCTCCGCGAATTTTCACAACCCACCCAAGCAGCAGCACCCAGAGCACAGAACAGGACATTACAACGCCCTGGACCCCCATGCGCCCTTGCAGCCTCCACCTGCCCCTCCTCCTGGGTAACGATCATCCTGACTTCAATAACATAGATTAGTGCTACTTCTTTTTGCACTTTGTACAAATGGAGTCATACCATGTGTCCAGCTTCTCCTACCCAACATTATTCTGAATTTCATTCACATTGTCATGTGTGGTTATAGCGCATTCATTCTTCTGTATAGATTTTGAGTGCATACGTTACAATTATTAAACCATTGTGCTAGCCACTAGTATCTACTGATGGAAGGAAGGCTTTGGGGCAGTTTTCAGTTTGGAATTCTTCCAGTGGTGCTACTGTGAACATTCCTGTGCGTGTCTCTGGGTGCTCATGGGCATGGATCTCTGTCAGGTGTGCACCTAGGAAAGGAATCACTAGGTCACAGGGTCTGCAGGTGTTCACCGTTGTTGGGTGCTCACGCCAATCACACCCCCACTCATGGGGGATCAGAGTGCCAGTGACTCCACATGAGCACAGACACTTGGTGCTTTTCAGGCAAGCTTCCAGCCATGTGTTCTGCTCTGTTTTCTCCTCTCCCCCCAGCTCTGCCCCCAGCACACACACGCACACATTCTAGGCTCTCAGGACACTGTGCCTGGACCATCCAGGTTCCGGAATACCTGTTTGATGAATGAATCAGCAGCGACCTGGCAATGCTGTCGCCTCTGATATTGGGCAAGCTTCCTTTCCTTAATTGATGGGAGAGGGTAGTCATTCTCTAGCTTGGACTTTCGCATTTATTTTCTCCTCTGATAATGAAGTTTTTCCAAGGGCTTGGTGTCCGGGAGCCTCGCCTCCGCATTAACTCAGGCTTCAGGGATCCTCTCCTGGGCTCCAGAACAGAGCCCCTGGTCCCGATCCCCTCCTCCTGCTGCTGGAGACATCGGGAACCTCCCTCCATCCTCTTCATGTCTTGCGATTTCCCATCAGACAGTATCACACAAGGCCTGCTGATGCAATAAGAACTTCATTCCTGTAGGGGGACTGGGGTCAAAAGTTGGGGGGGAACTGAACTTAGTGAGGGATCTGGGGACCTAGGGACCTAACCACTATGTGTGACATTATCACTTCGCACAAATACATTCCAAATTCCAAACAATTTCACTACAAACTCATTTATGAAAGACAGCTCCAGGAGAGGGTGCTAGGGGTGAGGGCACACTCGTGTATCAGTGACAGTGCAAAACCGTGGCATGAGCCTGGAGTTACAGGGAGATGTCTGAGACTGTGTGTGCTCACACATGCTGGTGAGAGCGGATGACCCGGTACATGTGGAAGCCTCAGGAAAGAGTGTGTATGCCCTTGGCTACAGGTCAGTTACACCCTGGGGACTGCATTGAACCCTGACAGAAATTTTACTAATAATGTAATACATTTTCACTGATTATAAAAATAAGGCAATTTTATCATAGAAAATCTATAAAACATATAAAAGAATAAAGAGGAAAGTAAAAATTACTTGTACTCTTACTTCCTACAGATAAAGACTGATGATGTTTTGGTATATAAATCTTTCAATCTTTGACCTGTACATATAGTACAGGTTTTGAGGGGTTTTATTAAACTAAATTAAAATAATATTATACATAATGTTATGTAATCTGCTTTCTTCATGTAATACCTGTTGGTGCTTTCCCACACCATCAGATATTCTTCTAAAACATTTTTTCAGGTGTGTGTGACAGACCCTACTCTGTCACCCAGGCTAGAGTGCAGTGGTACCATCTCAGCTCACTGTTACCTCCACCTCCCAGGTTCAAGTGATTCTCCTGCCTCAGCGCCCCAAGCAGCTGAGATTACAGGCGCACATCACCACACCCAGCTAATTTTTGTATTTTTGTAGAAACGGGGTTGCACCATGTTGGCCAGGCTGGTCTCGAACTCCTGACTTTAAGTAATCCGCCTGCCTCAGCCTCTCAAAGTGCTGGGACTATAGGTATGAGCCACCACACCTGGCCTAAAATACAGTCTTGAATTGCTGCTTATACAGAATCTATTTAACCAGTCTCCCATTATTCTATATTTAATGTATCTTGCAAATTTTCACCATTATAAATTATGCTTC